GGTCAGTCGGATTTTGGGGCTTTATAGGGTTTTTGATGACAATTGATGATTGATTTTGAGTATGTTGCCGGTGACGGGGACCCGATTGTGGCACAGTTTTTTGAAATGTCTCGACTTGATCTACCGATTGGGGTAATAAAAATTTTTTTGTCGGTCGGTCCCCTTTTTTGAAGATTGAGTGGGCTTTGTTAAATTTAGGCCTATTTAATCGTTTTTGAGGATGTTGCCGGTGACAGGAACCCGATTGCGGCACAGTTTCGGAAATGTCTCGACCAGACCTACCGATGGGGCGAATAAAAATTATTAGTCGGTCGGTCCCCTTTTTTGAAGATTGAGTGGACTTTGTTAAATTTAGGCCTATTTAATCGTTTTTTTAGGATGTTGCCGGTGACGGGGGCCCGATTGCGGGGGCCCGTTTCGGAAATGTCTCGACCAGACCTACCGATGGGGCGAATAAAATTTTTAGTCGGTCGGTCCCCTTTTTTGAAGATTGAGTGGATTTTGTTGAATTTAGGCCTATTTAATCGTTTTTGAGGATGTTGCCGGTGACGGGGACCCGATTGCGGCACAGTTTCGGAAATGTCTCGACCAGACCTACCGATGACGCGAATAAAAATTTTTAGTCGGTTGCTCCCCTTTTTTGAAGATTGAGTGGATTTTGTTGAATTGAGGCCTATTTAATCGTTTTTGAAGATGTTGCCGGTGACGGGGACCCGATTGCGGCACAGTTTCGGAAATGTCTCGACCAGACCTACCGATGGGGCGAATAAAAATTTTTTTGTCGGTCGGTCCCCTTTTTTGAAGATTGAGTGGATTTTGTTGAATTTTTGGCCTATTTAATCGTTTTTGAGGATGTTGCCGGTGACGGGGACCCGATTGCGGCACAGTTTCGGAAATGTCTTTACCAGACCTACCGATGTGGCGAATAAAAATTTTTAGTCGGTTGGTCCCCTTTTTTGAAGATTGAGTGGATTTTGTTGAATTAAGGCCTATTTAATCGTTTTTGAGGATGTTGCCGGTGACGGGGACCCGATTGCGGACAGTTTCGGAAATGTCTCGACCAGACCCACCGATGGGGCGAAAAAAAAATTTTAGTCGGTCGGTCCCCTTTTTTGAAGATTGAGTGGATTTTGTTGAATTTAGGCCTATTTAATCGTTTTTGAGGATGTTGCCGGTGACGGGGACCCGATTGCGGCACAGTTTTTTGGGAAAAGTCTCGACCAGACCTACTGATAGGGCGAATAAAATTTTTAGTCGGTCGGTCCCCTTTTTTGAAGATTGAGTAGGTTTGCTCGGTAACGGTGAGAAATTTGTTCCCCTTTTTTGTAGATAAAGTAGGTTTTCTCGGAAACGGTGAGGAATTTTCAACTTTTGGGATTTTTCCCAATTTTTCCATAAAATTTGGAATCGAATGGAAAAAACCGCAAGTCTCTACGACCACTCCTTCACCCCAAACATTTCTATGAGTGAGTGAGTGAGTCAGTGAGTCAGTGAGTCAGTGAGTCAGTCGGATTGGGGCTTTATAGGTTTCAAGAACCTATAACCTGTACAAGTTTGTACATAAATTACGTACAATTTTAAAGCTTACGAACAATTTTGGAATATTGTCCCCAATTTATGTATTTAATTGTACGTTGCTTCCGTACACATTAAATGTTTAGGCGTGTTTAGGTAGAATTTTGTACGTGCAACTTGCACGATTTTGTGCATACGTGGAAAATGCATATCATGCGCAAAGATGCATGAATTTATGCAAATTCACGCATAATTTTATGCACGACGGCACACAAGTTTAAAGTTATGCATCACCACGTACAAAATTGTATTCAGTGTGTACGTACTAATTTGGCAATGTTAATGGACAGTAAAGCTTAACATGTAAGTAGTGTCGACTTCGTATTTGTTTGAGTGTGAATTTGGTCACGTACTTTTCAATGTTCGTCCATGAGGTCACATTCGTTCTAATTTTGATACATGCTCAAACTAATGTGAAGTCCAACTGAAGTTTTTCGCACACTAAATGTTTTTTTTCTAAATCTACGAGACTTTACAAATTTCTTGTAGACATAAAATTTTCGTACAGATTTATAAGCGATTTTGTACAGAAAAAAATGGGGAATGCAGGTTTTTGTACGAAAATTGTTGGAAAAGTTTATACCTTACGCAGAAATTTCTCTTAATACGAAGGAAATGGCGCAAGCATAATACGAAGGTGGTTTTTCTTCGTATTACGAAGGTTTTTTTTTGTATCTTTATCTTACAATGAAAAAGCTAAAAAGATTCGTATTTCGAAGGAATATTGCTTCGTATTATTCTTGCGCCGATTTCACTGTAACATACGAATAACATAGGTCAAATTTCATTGTAAGACATTTAGAGTGTATAGCGAGTCTGAGAGAGCACATTGTTCGTATAACTTAATGTGTGTGTGTGTGTGTGTGTGTGTGTGTGTGTGTGTGTGTGTTCCAGGCAGTGGCAGACACTCCCTCCTCGCTGGCGAAGCTGCTTCCCCGACTGGCGGTCCCTTACACGACGCGCACCCTGCTGTGGGCAGCCTTGCCCGAGGGCGCGCTGCGCGTGGCTCTGCTGCCCGTGCGCCCCCTCTGCCTGCGCAACGGGGCGCTCGCCCTGACCGCCGCCAACGGCACCACTGTCATGTACCGCCACCCCTGCACCTGCGGCCAGGGCGCGTGGCACATCGCCGAGGACAACCGCTGGGAACCGGAGAGCGGATGGCGGCACCCGGGTAGGGTCTTTGCGGGTATTTGCGGGTCATTGCGGGGGAGAACCGAACCGAATCAACACTGGCGAGAAAAAAGTACGGAACATGTCTGGTCAAAAATTTGCCTGGACCGTGCGTCCTGCCCTACTAGGGAACTTCTGTACTATTATTTCGTACCCGATTGAGTTCTTATGGGACAAGTACGGGCGTGCTGTACTTTTTTCAGTACTTTCGTACTATATACGTCTGTACATTTTCCGTTCAAAAGTACGGCATTTACGGTGCACTGCGAGTGGGGAAAATCAGGAGTGGTGCGACACTGTAAATCCAAAGGCAATACTTTTAGTACCTTTTTTGGCAATACAATTGAGTATCGCCAATAAACGGTCTTACGGAAAAGTATTGCCTTCAGAACGGCGATACGCAAAAGTATCGCCAAAATTTGGCGACACTTTGGAGTATTGCCACGATTTGGCAATAAACGTCGAACAAATCAAGAGGACAAGACCTTGGTATAATGCCGTGGTTTTGGCAATATCCAAAAGTTTTGCCAAATTTTGGCGATACTTTTTTGTATCGCCGTTCTGAAGCCATTACTTTTCCGTAAGGCCGTTTTTTTGGCGATACTCAATTGTATCGCCAAAAACTGTACTTTGGTATCGCCGTTGCATTTGCAGTGGAATCAAGGGTTTTCGTTCCGAATAGGGTGTTATAACGAATCGTCGACCGAAAGTCAAAGAACGAAAGTAAGAACCAAAACGGCTCTGAGCAGACGCTGCCTTGGAGTTCAGGGGGGATTTGCGCATGCGCAGAAGCGGTATTGGTTCTTACTTTTGTTCTTTGACTTCCGGTCCAGGGATTCGTTAAAACACCCTTTCATTCGAATCGAAGTAAACAATTCGATGCCGATTCAAACTTTTCTGTCAATTTATGACTCTTTCCCTTATCTGTCCACCTCAGTTTGACGACGAACCACCAAAAACTAATTTGAAAATTCGGATAAATCGTGAACGAACTCTTCAATTATGCTGGAAAATGTATACTCCTTGCTGGTTATTGGTACACTGCAAACCTAAGTGTGAGAAAGTCTCACACTACTTAGTAGTGTACACCAAACCGTCTCACGCTTAGAAGTGTGAGACACCGATGATCCACGCTTGCAAGTTTGAGACACGGTTATGACCCTCACTTGCTCCCAATGGTTCCCTTTGTGTCTCAACGCCACGGGTCTCACACTTGTAAGTGAGAGACAAACTTCCTCGCACGCTTGCAAGCGAGAGAACTTCGTCCTTGTCCCTCAGAGAGACGGGATCGGAGGTCTTTGCTCAAGCTCCAATCCCTCTAGTCTCAACTGTTTACACTATACAATCAAATTTGAGCTATGTTACAGTGCATTTGGCGCAATCATAATACGAACCAGTATTCCTTAGTAATACGAATCTTTTCGGCATTTTCATAGCAAGACACAAAGAGAAACCTTCGTAATACGTAGAAAAACTACCTTCGTATTATGCTTGCGCCATTTTCTTCATATTATGGGAAATATCTTCTTAAAACATTTAGAGTGTAGAAGCCTCAGAAACCCGCTCCGCAAACCTTGCGTTTCTCTTCACTTCAACGTCTGGGACTTCAAATCCAGGCAGCGTGTTCCTGCCGCCGTGCCGGCAGTGGCGCGCCCCGGCGAGTGGAGTCCTCGAGGCGTGGGTCAACCCCTACATCTCGGTGCAGTACCTCGAGTTCTGGGCGCAGACGGCCGAGCGCGAGCTGCGTAACTTCGCCAAGTACAACGGCGTGCCCCTGCGAATACGTCGGCAGACCTTGAACGACTCCGACTTTCGATGGTACCCGGCGCTGGAGTGTCGGATGGACATAATGGCGAGCATCTGGGGCATGAGGCCCTACCTGCAGTACGCCATGTTCCCTTGGGCCAAGGCCGGCGGGTACTGCGTGGTGCCCGCGCCACTGCAGCAGCGCCGGGGCCCCCTGCCGGCGTGGGCGGACGACTTCGGGCTGGCCATGTGGGCCACGGCGCACGCCGGCATCCTCGCCGTGGCCGCCGGCATGTTCTTGCTGCGCGGCGACGGCCCGCTCTCCGGCGACGTCCTCAAGGCCTTCAAGCAGCCCCTCCCGCTCAAGCTGCACCTGCTGCAGCGGCCCGTGCTCGGCTGCTGGCTGGTGGTGGGCTTCGTCCTCACCACCTTGTACCAGGCAAGGGGACGTAACTTTGAAATTCAGTATGAGTTCCACATGAATTTTAGATTGTTTTGAATGAATGGCAATGGCAGCCAAATTTATGAATTTTGGGTCAGTTTTACTGAATGGCGGCCAAATTTATGAATTTTGGGTCAGTTTTACTGAATGGTGGCCAAATTTATGAATTTTGGGCTAGTTTGAATGAATTGCAGCCGAATTTCCTGTAATCTCTCGGCATGAACTTCACTAAATTTTTAAAAACTAATTCAACTTTTGACAAAATTGGGAAATATTTTTGGGGGTGGCTAAATTTATGGATTTTGGGTAAATTTTTATGAATGGCAGCCAAATTAATAAATTTTGGATAAGATAAAATTAATTGCAGCCAGATTTCCTAGAATCTCTCGGTATGAAACCCGCAAAATTTTTAAGAACTTGTACGACTTTTGACAAACTTGAAAATTTGGAGGAATTTAACAGAAATTCAAGATGGTCCATGAATTTCGATGCACAAATTATCTTAGAGTTGTCTTTCCCCTCGGTGCCAGGGTGAGCTCGTGAGCGAAGCCAACGAGCGCGGCTCCGGGGCCGAAATCCGGTCCGTGGAGCAGCTCGCCAGGAGCAACCTGACCATCTTGTTGGGCAACCCGACGCACGCCCAGTTCGTGCCGGTGCAGGGCTGGGGCCTGGCGGACAAGGTGCAGTACACGGAGCCGCTGGGCATGACGCAGGCCGACGTGCTGGACCGCGTTGGCGTGGCCCGCGACGCCGCCACCTTCATGATGCTGGGGTCGCAAGGCAGTCAGCCGCCCATGCTCGCCGACAGGACGCGCGTCCGCCTCTTTCGGCTGCCGATCGAGGAGTCCGTCACGGACTACATCGTGATGCGCGGCTGGCCGTACGAAGGGACTTTTCGCAGGTAGGCCTGACAGTGGCGGACCCAGATGCGGCCTATGTGGGGGGAGGAGGGGGGGTCGCACTTTTTGCCTACCTTTCAGGCGGCTTTCTAGGCCCCCCCTTGTATCCGCGCGTGGCCTGGTACAGCTCCAGACTCGAACTGAACGAGTGATCCCACCAATGCACTGTGAAAATTTGTTGTCACTTTATGACAAAAACGTGGATGATATTTTCATCACTTTTAAATTATGACAATCTCATCACAAATTGATGACATTTTTATCAAAGCTCCCATACTCATTGCGTGGGCGTGACAACCATATCATCAATTGTTTTGATGACATTGTTGTAGGGAAAATTAGCCTTGAAATTGTCATCAAGTGACGACTCAAATTTTCTCAGTGTGGGTTGCCCTCGAAGCGAGAAATCCATTTTCGGGGGTCACACGATAGGTTTGAGTCTAGTTCAGCGACTCGGGGGCTCGAAACGCGTCAAGAGTTTAGGCCCGCCCCATCCAGTCTTCTGGCCCATTAGTGACGGCTAGACGCGTTTTTAGCCCCCGAGTCGCTGAACACGACTCAAACCTATCGTGTGACCCCGCCAATGGATTCGTCGCTTTGAGGGCAACCCATTGGTGGGGTCACACGTTCGGTTCGAGTGCTGTTTAGTGAGTCTGGAGCTCAAAACACGTTGGCACGAGTTTTGGCCGCCTCGCCCACCCTGTGCCTAGGCGATCATTGGTTTTAATAGAAATCGGTCGATGAGTAAAGTAATGAGAAACAATCGCGACTGGTGTTGATTAGCAGTAAAATAATCGAAACGCAAAAAAAAAAAAAACAATAAACGATCAGTTAAAGAAACCGATTATATGGAAAATATGAGACGAAGGTTAATACTGCTGGTAGCAAACTTGAAATAACGTGTAAAGTAAAAGGATACGAGTGGTTGTGACGACTTTTCCCCCCTCAATGAAACTTTTTTCGGATGATGCACAACCGTTCCCACTCACAATTTGAACAGATTCTGGATACGATAACCGATGAAAACCACTAATCGAAGGTTTGAATTAACCCGACGATTAACAAAATAATCGCGAGGAATTTCTTCGATTAGAGCACACTGGTGGCCAACGAATGTGACGTCATATTCGTTGCAGTGTGAATTTTGTCACGTTCGTTTGAATATGATGTCACATTCGTTTGAATGTTGATTCACGTTCAAACGAATGTGACACCCTACTTGAACGGCCGAGTCACGTTCAAACGAATGTGACATCATATTCAAACGAACGTGACAAAATTCACATTCGTACGAATATGACGTCACATTCGTCGGCTTCCAGTGCAACCACTTACTAATCGAAGGCTTGAAATAATCCGACGATTAATAATATAACCGCGATTAATTTCAGTTAATCGCCAAGGCCTATCCGCAGGTTCCTCGGGCGCTGGCGCGCCGCAGGGCTGTTCGAGAAGTTCGAGCAGACGGGGCCGGCCAACCCGACGCCGGACAGGAATGTGTTGCCGTCGTCGTTCGAGCCGCTCACGCTGGCCCACGCGTGGCCTATGCTGCGTATCCTCCTCGAGGGATGCGTCAGTGCCGGCCTGGTGCTCGTTCTGGAGATGCTCGTGAAAGGGTGCGGGTGAAACCCGTTTAGCGGACCCAGTACGGGTCTTCAAATCCCGAGGGTGTTTCCACTCGTCAGAGACGCGAGCGCCGTGCGCGGTAGGCAACCCAACGAGCAGCGATGCCTGCTGGATTGGCGCACAGTACGAAAGAAGACAGGCGCATGCGGTCGAAATTCTGGTGGCGAAATGTGCGAATGTCGCCTATGTTTAATCCTGACGGGATTTGATCCTGAGTCTGGGGTCAAAATAAAGATGTTATTTTCGTCATCAGCACCCTCAAAAACATCAACAACATTGCAAAAACTCGAATAAAAGGAATGTTCAAAATGTACCTCACTGGGATTCGATCCCGGGTCCAAACTTCTCCTCACTTGAAACTGGCACCGTTGGTTTTGTCTCGTCACCCCGATTCCAAAAATACTCCTTTATGCCCTTCTACCTACACTCTTAAAACCGTACGAGGTATTTTGAGCATACGTATAACAAACTAAAATACTTTGTCATACGCAGAAATAGTTCGTAAATTACGAAGTATTTTCTTTGTAAGCTTATGTATGCTCAAAATACTTTGTTGTACAAACTTCTTTCCTTTGTAAGGCCCCAAAAAAGTTTGTAAGGTTTTCTCATTGTATCCTTTGCCGCAATCCTCCTCGACCCCATGTAGACCATGATGCACCTGCAGCAGCGCTCCGGGGGCGCGGATCAGATTTGCTGCCACCGGGCGGTTCTAAGGGTCACCCAAGGAGGCTGCATACCAAAATTGGTCAAGATCGGACCACGGGAAGCCCTCGGACGGACGAGCGGACGGACGCACAGCATGCTCGTCCCTCCGACATTTTTTTTTACAAAAAATACACGGGACGGGCCAAAAACGCGTTTTTCTTGGCAGCGTCGGGTGTCGCAGATACACGCGAGGTCTCGCATAACGAAGATGCCAACTGCAAGATGCATCGTGCAGACTCGCACACTGTGGCAGCCTGCAGGGAGCGCCGTGCGGGGTAGGCAGCCCAGCGGGCAGCGGTGTCGGCTGGGTTGCCTGACTTGTGACTTGCACACAGCAAACGTTTTGATTGACACGCAGTGGCGGATCCAGAGACGGCCGGGGGGGGGGGGTCACTTTTTGCCTACCTTTCAGGCGGCTATCTCGGGGTAAAGGCAGGGGCAATTGTCCTTTTGCCCCCACCCCCTCCCCGAACTGGATCCGCGCTTGCTGACACGTGCACTCCGCAGTGAGGGGAAATCGCAGCAAGGGACGAAAACACTGCTCTCGTTCCGTGGCGAACGTGTAAAAATGACAATAAGATCTTAGCCTGTCGGTGTCCAGCACTCGAGGTCTCCTGGGACGACTCCGCCAGTAAAAACCCTTTCCAAACATCGTGCTGCAGCGGGCCTCCGGTGACTCTGGAGAGCTCCTTTAGCGCAGAGAACTCTTGCATTGCAGCTCTTTCCAAGCGTCTTGTCCGGGGGAATCGATACCCAAAGGTAGAAGTCAATTTAAAGACGCTCTCGTTCCAGGAACGGGACATCACGTTGGAACGAACGTGACAAGTTGCCACGTTCGTATGAGCTGTGTCACATTCGTTTGGGGGTGAATCGGCCAAAAATTTGCGAGTTCACAATCAAACGAATGTGACAAAATGCTCAGAGGGACGTGACATCTTGTCACATTTTGTTTCAACGTGACGCCACTCTGGAATGAGAGTGGAACTTTGAAAAATCAATGTGCATGTGACAGACACAGTGCATGGCCATCGGACGACTAATTCGAAGCATTGCGTTCAGAAATTCGTAAGGATTACGCTCTTTTGGAAAATGTCGTTTTCAGTGCCTGCATTCTTCGAGCCAGCCGTGCGGGTTTGCTGGTTGCAAGCTGAGCCTTGGTAAAGGGCCTGTGCTGAGGCTGTAGGGGGGGTTAAGCGCCAAAAAAAATGCTAAATGTGCAAAACATTTTCGGAACGATCTGATTTCGGAAATCGGTAGATTTGAAACCCTCTTTCAGATTTGATTTGTAGCCAAACCAGGAAACCGCGGGAACCCACTCAAAAAGCGGGTTGCATATTTGGGGGGCACCGCCGCTTTTGCTATTAAAATCCATTATAAACAGAAACTAGACGACGCAGGTCGTGGTAGAAACGTCGGGGCGTCTAGGAGAAATAGAGGAGAAAGTTCGCGTTGGTTTCAGCCCTCTGACATCAAAACTCCGACGTACAGGATCGATTAACTCATTGGGCATTAACGTCAAAAAAAGAAATTCGAAATTTATCGAAAACTTTCAGGCCACTCGGCACGGGGCTAGTCGAGGCCTACATAGTGGTCATGTCCCAGGGGGAAAAAAAGTTAGTTGTGACAACAAAAAAAGTTAGTTAAATTTCCGGAGCAAAATAAGTGGTCATGACAACAAACTTTTTTTTGCCGAAGCAACGTTAGGAAAATTACTAGTTGAAACAAATTTGTAGCTTCAAGGAACGAGAAACACTTGGCTGAAACTAGTTTTTTGACTTCAAGAACGATTGAGTTTTAGTTCTGAGAACGAAGCCAATTTTGTTCTGAAAGCAAATATTTTGGCTCATGTAGGCAAAGCTACAAGAATGAGTTCGACGAGGGACAGAACTAAGTCACGTGATGTGCAGGTTCTTACAGATGTGGTTTATCTGAAGGTGCGCGTCCCCCGGGGGGACAAGCATATAACAGTTGATCAGTACAAACAACTTAAAAATTTTAAAGGGCGGAGGGAATGGAATAATCCGACCCATCGAAGGATGCAGCAAAGTTATGACTACTTCAGCTACACATCAACGTGAAGTGGGTCCGTGCCCAAACCCGATTCACACTGTGAGCTGCCCGCGCGGGGCCGGACCGCTGGACGATCGCAGCTTCTGCAAAGTGTTCAAGTCGCTGCGACGGACCCCTGACAGCATAGGCAGATCGGCAGCGCAGTGGCTTGCGAGTCGCGTCTCAACACGAAGAGTGCGGGTTCAAATCCCCATCCGGGGGGAAAAGATTTGCTCGATTCTTTTCTCCGAGCTTGCAGCTTGATGCTGACGTCACAGGGAGATCGTGCCTCTGAGCACGGTTGCAACCCCCTTTTTGGCGAGAACCTCACAATTTCGTCGTTAAACAAAAGAGGCGTGAAGCAGTTGTAACGCGCTGGGGTAAAAAGGTGTTTCGTACAGGCTCCCAAAACTGTGTCACTGATGACAAAAAAATTTTTGGCCCAACAAATTTTTGTGAGTGCCAGGAACTAAGTTTATGCATTCGTAGAACAAGGTTCATGATGATCATTACAAAATTGATGGCGTTAAGACTACATTTATATTTTTGTTGCATCAACAAAAAGAAACGTAGAGAGAGCAATGCTGTTTTTTGAGACAAGCGAAGATTAGTTCGATCAGCTAAGCGTCTTGGGTTTTGGAAAAAGTAACTAATTTTTAGTTGTCCCAAAAGAAGTGTTTGTTGCCACAGCAAAGTCTTTTTTTCCGTACGGGGGCATGGGGTCGTCTGCACTACACTGGTAGCCAACGAATGTGACATCACTTCGTTTTAACGTGAAAACGGCGATGTCAGTTTAAACGTGACAACAGAGAAAATTCATACTTAACGAATGTGACACACCGCACCCCTCTGTCACATTATTTCGGTGTGGAAACAC